TTGATCAATAATCGTAATTGGGATAAACCAAGTGGTAGAGTTTGTAACAAGGTTTCCAAAAACATAAAGAACACTAAAATCCGAGTTATAACGAAGAAGTTATGACCAATCGAAAATCCGCGACAAAACCGGCAAAACACTGTTCAGTGTAAAAACTGAATTTTCGATAAAAGGCTTTTTAGCCTTAACAATCTAAATGAAAGTTGTAGTTTATGTTAAACCGAGAACTTTCATAAAAAGAACGGAAAAACCTGACTTCGTATGAGGAAGTTATGATTTTTCTAAGTTGCGGTATAGCAGTGTACAGCTAAAAACTCGAAATAAAGATCGAGCGATTTTTAGTCGACACAACCTAAACGAGAATTGAAGATCTCGTCGGTAGTAGTACAACGGTAAAAAGACATACAAAAACGGACGTCGTATGAAGAAGTTATGAATTTATAACGGATTCCCGTCCCGGTCTGTTTAAAATAATAATATTAAAAATAAATTCAAAATTAGCCGACAAAGTCTAAACGAAAGTCGTAGAGTATGATTTTACCTACGCGTGCATATAAAGAACGCCAAAAACGGAGCTCGTATGCGAAAGTTATGATTTTCGCAAGTTTGACACAAAAATAAAGAAAAAATGGGAAAAACCGGGCAATTTCGCATGCCACGTCATCCTCGCACGTGGCAGCTGCTGAGTGGACCGAACCCATGCGTGGCACCTCCTGATTGGACCGCAGCCAAGGTCCACTTAGAAGCGAACAGCTTCGCATGAGATGCCCCGGAGACACCCCTCGGACACCCTCCTTCGCATACGTGGCCTCTTTCTACTGGACCGAAGAATGGTCCAATCCGAGACTGCCACTGCGAGCCTGTTGTCCGAACCCTCGCACGTGGCTTCGCTGCTGACCGACGCGTGGCTGCTGACTCACCCTCGCTTCGCCACCTGTCCTCCTCGGCCGAACCCTCGCACCCCTATATAAAGGGTGCGAGCCTCCTCGCATAAGAAGAGTTTTTCACCCCATTTTTCACCCATTTTGCACCATTTCACCCCCTCGACTTTCTCACGACCCCCGAAGGCCCCGGTATCGCGTCTAAAGCCCGAAGCAAGCCCTGGAGCCCCGGAATTCTAGAGAATTCATCCTCTCTCCTGTCGAAACTCTGCCCGGTTTGAGCCGGTTTCTCGTTAAATAAACTCTTTAAGGGAAACGAAATGCTGCCCAAATCACCGCTTATCAAAGTGAGTTCATACCCCTATAATTTACCTTTTCAATGGTTTTTAAATACTTTTTAGGGGGGGAATACAAGTTTAACACAATATTAAATTGTGTTAATAACTGTATGTGATAATAATCACACAAAATGATTCCGTATGCTTTTAAGAATTATCAAATACTTCCAAAATAACGTGAAGTCATGTTAAATCTTTAAAGTCATGTAAAAACTCCGTTAAATTCTTTGAAAAATGTTTTATAAGCTATTTCAAAGTATAAATGCCAAAATCATGTTTATATATGTATAAATATATAAATAAGATTTGAAGGGCTTAGGACTAATGAATTATCCTATATCCTTTTCCTTGTTTGGATGTGGAATTAGGATTGTATTGTTTGTCCGAAGGTCGTTTCCTTCTTAATTATATATATATATATATATATATATATATATATATATTATACATATATGAGTACCAAAGGTTACTCCTTTTGGTATCTTCACCTTTGTATCAGGCTGAGCAAAGGTGTTCATCCATTAGAAACCATGCTAATCAGATAGAACATATAAATTATAATAGGTATAATTTATCATTCAAAACTAAAGATACAAGTATGAATTACAACTGTATACTTTCCAAGGAAATTACCAAAATTCATTCAACTATACCAAGATATGTATAATACCTTTAATATACGAATAACATATTAAAGAAGTAAAGATACATCATACCTAGTTTGCATTAACAAAGGTACGATACAGAGTACCAGGGTTAGCAAACACGTGGTAATGCCGGGTTTGCATTAACAAAGGTACGATATACAGAGTACCAGAGTTAGCAATCACGAGTAATAATACATCATATTGGGTTTGCATTAACAAAGGTACGATATACAGAGTACCAGAGTTAGCAATCACGGGTAATAATACATTCTGCCGGGTTGGCATTAGCAAAGGTACTATACAGAGTACCCGAGTTAGTAAACTCGAGGTAATAATACATCTTACCGGGTTTGCATTAACCAAGGGTACGATACAAAGTACCAGAGTTAGCATTCATCGGGTAATAACAATAATACATCGGAAATCTCGTTGAAACAATAAATTTGTGAGACCCTTCACGGTGTGCTTATCTAAGTACGACCTTTTTAAGTCCTGAACTATTAGCCAGAATCTCTTGTAGGGAGAGCGTGAATTTGTGTATAGATCTATATGGGACTGACAATCCCGCACCTTTACTGTTCGCTACAGTTTGGCTGGCAGGCCTAGGGTGTCAAATATCATACCGTTCCGACGCCTGAAGAACGTCGCTGCAGGCTTTTCCGTCATATTAGTATGGTTGATAGGACTCACATGGATAAAACAACGAGTGAATTACAAAGTAATATACTTCTCTTATAACAGTAAGAAAAGTTAATTACATCCTGACCAGATATACCTTCAGTAGCTTTTACTTACAGTAAGAGCTATGTATCATGAAATCAAGTATTGTACTTCTGGTTTTGAACATTTAAAACCACAAGGCAGTATTATGAATAATAGAATACTCTCCATGATTAATACTAAGGTTGTTACTGTAGAACAGATATAACTAAGAACACTTTTACAAATGAAACGGTTTATGAGATTAAACCACTTTTACAAATGAAACAGTTTATGGGATTAAACCACTTATACAAAGGAAACGGTTTATGGGATTAAACCACTTATCAAATGAAACTTAGTCATTCAATCTTTGTAAACTAGTATAACATAAAAGACCTTTAGTGGTTAATTCTATAATTCCTTAGTTATTACATCAGAGTTGTACATAAGTAATGTCCGATTGACAGTGAAATGTGTGTTGGGTTTTAGTATACTACAACATCCTATGGTGCACATACAACCCTAAATACCTTGGATCTATGTTTTCACTAATTATACATGCAAATGGTTTCCAAGGTATTAATCTTACAACTAGCATGCATTTAACATAAACCATATAAGATACTAGTTAGCATAACATACCTTTTGATGAAACTTGAAGTCTTGGTGTATTTGGCCTCAAAGAGCTTAGCCCCAATAGTGTGGAAGCCTCAAGTGGAATCACAACACATCATGGACAAGGATGAACTTGAGAGAGAATTCCATGCACACAAAAACCACCATGAACTCCAAGAAGATACAAGTTGCGATTTTGGGCAATGAAGTATTCATTTATATGTGGGATTTCTAGGGTCATGGATATAACCCAAATCCATACCCATGGATTTTATGATCCATGGTTCATGTGGCCCAACTCTTTATGTATCCATACATAAACTTGGTCCAACATGGATCATAAGCCCAACACATATAAATATAACTAATTATCATAATTAGTCCCCATAGATTTAATTAGTCTCTTTTGACCACTAAATTAATTCCAAATTAATTCTTGATCAATACTAATTAAAACATACGATGATTTGATGTAACAGACAGTGACATCCGATAGTGCAGTATGCCATAACACCCAATGAACTTGGGTTCGATCCCTCTCCGAAGAGATAACGACATCATTAGCAACACAGTTTCCCATTAATGGGTTTCACTGCTTTGGACATAGAAATCGACACCATTACCCCAAAGAAACCCTAGGGATGGGATGTGAAAACTAAAGTGTGTCTCCGCATATTTGAACTGGACCTCATTGGCGAAATTCCAAACAACTTTCTTTGCATAATATGAAATTAAAGAATCAGTGAATAACAGTCAATGTCTATTGCACTTTCTATGAATCAGCGATAACTTAAAGGGGAATCGAATCTGGGTGAAAACATCTTTATTATTCTTGTTGCAATTGTTTTCTAGTTTGTTTTGTTTTCTTTGTTGCTCTTGGTGTTGAAGTTCGAAGTTTTAGATTCAAAAACTCATTCCTTTGACATTTATATAGTGTTTTTAATTTAATTGATAATGAACTTTCTGAATTAATCTACCCGTTCCCCTAATGTTCGAGAACTCAGTCTTACCTCAACTATACTATTATACAATTAGGTACATTTGCCTAGTTATGTAATATTCCCCGATTCTCATATTTCCTTTTATAAATTTAAGACTCTTTAAACACATGAGACACCTTAATACAAATTCACCCAATTGATATGATGTCCTCTTGATCTTCCTCCGCAAAAAAGACATTACCCTAATTACTAGCTACCCTTTATATACCATCGAAGACCGGCTCGAACCAAATAATTATCTCTTCAATTGTGAACTCCTTTGCCACAGACAAAATTCATTGAAATCTTTTAAGGCCTCATGTTGTTTACTTTGTTTTAAATTATAGCCAAACCCATGCATCTCTTACATAACTAATTTCCATGTTAAACACCCAACAACATGTCTTTTGTTAACTCGTATCACTTTTTCCTTGTCTTCATTTTGTTTTGTGATTTTAAGACATACTTTCAACTCACATGCCTTGCCAAGAACTTATTTGGTATCATAGCAACTTATGTCTAAGTAAAGATTACATTCAATAAGATATTTGATATATATAGTTGATGAGAAAAAAACAGCCAATCAAAGCTATTAGACCTTGTCATCACTTCCGACCACCCTAAAGATACGTTTAGGAAGACATTGCATTCCAAATAATTCAAACCCCTCGCCTACAACTATTGTATTTCAACTAAAATGTGATATTTGGTTTTAAGTTCGATTAAACCGAGTTCCTACGAATCGACCGTGTTTGCCACTATTGTGATTAATTTTAAATCACATACATTAATACCATTTCCTTCAAAACACCAACAAAATTCGTCTTATAAAAAAATCTTTCCAATAACTTCCGATCAATCTTTCCATCAAACTTCTCATAACGATATATGATACATTATAGATACAAATCGTACGCCCGTGTATGCTTATATGTTTATACATCATACTAACAACTTTTCACAAGCATTGCTAAAAACCTCTCCCTCATAGCTACCCAAATTCATTTTCACATAGTCTAGGAACCCAAAGAGATGATACAAGAAACAATGTTATACACAACTAACATAACTAAATTATTGAAAGGTGCGTGAAGTTACCTAAGCACTATTCAAAGGATGTGGTGATAATCATACATCATCCGCTTCTACAATATTTCTTCTCTTGATAGATCTTTTCTCTTCTAGTACCTACATGTAGGCCCCATTTCTTACACATGACATAACATAACACACAACAGACAGAGAAAGACATGCCACAGATGTGAACGAGACAAAAAATTACAATTCTTTGTCACAACCAAATAGTTGACACGTGAGCTGTGTGGAAAAGACGTAAATACCCTTATCATTGAAAATCTCCCTAAATATTTACCATCTTAGACATATTCATCAAGATTGTGATTATCTCAGAAAATTCCGGCCTCAAAGACGGATCTTGCTGCCAACATTGCTCAAGTAGTCCCACAATCCCTGGATGAGTATGCTTTGGAATCACAGGCCTTAAACCCTAAATTTAAGGCAATATTTCAAATAATTAACATCACTAAACCTGTGGCATTTTGGTAATTATGGGAACATATATACCTTCTGGACCACACCTATTGCTGCCTGAAGTGGAGTCAAGTTTGCATAAGGAAGCTGCCATGTCAGCCCATAAAATAAAGATTAGTCGGTTTACGTCTTTTTGATCAAATATTAAATTTCATTTTCTTTATTTTTTTTTATTTTGACTTTGGTCAAACCTTCCGTGTTAAGAGCTCCCACAAGACAATGCCAAAGCTGAAGACATCTGCCTTATGATTATATGGCCTGTGTTCAATAACCTTCAACAATACAAATATTATACCTTTGTTAAAACATATTATATATATATATATATTTTTTACCAATATAGACAATATAATTTATTAAAGTAATTTATATTATGGTAAAAAATTATAACCTCTGGAGCCATCCATCGATAAGTTCCAGTTTCTGCAGTCATAACTCCAGATTTATTTTGCACTCTAGCAACTCCAAAATCAGAAACCTTAACAATCTGTGAAAAAAGAAGCAGAATAATTTAAAGAAATTAAAAAAAAAAAGGAATATGAATTAATGAAGAAATGAAGCAATTTAGAAGAATTTTAGTTTGCTTACTCCATTTTCATCCATCAAAAGATTGGCACTTTTAAGATCCCTATGGATTATGTTATTTTCATGCAAGTAATTCATTCCTTTTGAAACAAGAATTGCTATTTTGAGTACAGCTGGCACATCAAAATGACCTTTTTGGTTATGTAGGAAATCATACACACTTCCACCTGTCATATATTCTGAAAAAAAAAAAAAGAAAAGATTTCAGGGCCAAAATTCAAAATTCAAAAAATTATTTTCTATGGTGAAGAGGAATTATTTATAATTAATTACCTGTAACTATACAAAGATTTGGAGGTTTTGTACATGCACCTATAAATTGGACAACGTTTTTGTGCCGAATTTTCCTGCAAGGTGAAAATTTTTAAAAGTGTAAAATACCTAAAAAGCCCTTGAAGGGAGGGGAAATGAATGTAACAAACCTCATTATATAGACTTCTTGAGCGAATTCTCTCTTCGCATTTTCGTTTAAATACTCATCTTTGAGAGCTTTTATGGCCACATCTTGAGTACAATATGTACCTTTATACCTGTGTATAAAGAAACAAATAATAATTAGAAAAATGGAATTGTAGTTATGAATTTTATGATACATAACTTGTGGATAAATTTAACTTACAAATCACCATATGATCCACCACAAATTCTGTATTCATAATTCAAAAGTTTAACATCAATTTCCCAAACATCAGCCCCATCCACAGGCATCTTTACACTTTCTTGAAAATTCTTTTTCTCCAACTCCTTAAAAGGTGACACGTGTGAATTTTTTGACCATGGTATATCCTGCAGTCAATTTCATTGTTTAGGGTTCAGGGTTTAGGGTTATAGGGTTTTAGGGTCCCACCCAAAAAGGTGGAATAAAGACTTGGTCTAGATGTTTTGTTTGTGCAAAAGACGAAAATGCCCTCCTAATGCTAATCATAAAAAATGGCTCTAAAAAGGTAGGAGGTTGACCACCTCAACCCTTGGTATTTCTGTTGCTAGTACATCTCTGAGTTTCTCAGTTTCCTACAAATATGTGGAAATAAATTACAATTTCTGAAAAAGGATTAAAATTTTGACAATTTTTTTATCATATTTAATACATAAATATAGTGAAATACCTCATAAGGCCAACCATAAACAACAAAGACATCTAATGAGTAACCATCAGTTGTTGAAAAGGCATGAGCTTCTTGAATATTTAAACCGATCTCAGAGAGAAGTGAAGTCAACTGAATACAATCACAATGAAAGGAGATTATAGTTTTAGTTAATATTTAATACAATAACTGTTGTATATAAATGTATTTATAAGTAAACAAAAAAGGAAATGTAATTACCTTACATAGGAGTTTAGGCTTATCATTTGTTGAGATTGTAATTTCATGCAAAGGCCTACATGATTTTGAAAGTCTTGTTGTTATATCACAAAAATAATTAAGAATACACACAAAAAAATTGAGCAAAAAAACAAATAAACAAAAACATAATGATCAAATAGAATCAAACCTTTCAGAAATATTACCGAAGTAAGTGCTGGTTTGCACTCATAACTTTGATTCCACCTTTTTGATTCGATTTATTGGCCTCAAAAGCAGATTTTACACCAAATGCAGGTGGTGGATGATTGCTGTAAAAAAAAAAAAGTTTTTAATAAATATTCTTTTGTGTTATAACTTGAAAGCAAGATTTAGGTGTTAATTTTTCAAATCATGCCTTTTCCTGACTGGATAGATAGATATTTCAGCATCTTTCTTTGTATAGCTTGAATTAGACTCACCACCATTTTCATCAGTGCTAGAATGAAACTGCATGATAAAGTTTTTTAAAACTTTGTACATGAAATCAAGTAATCAACACCCTTTATATTACATTAATACATTTATTATTTATTATTTTCCATACCTGAATAAGGCGAGCTTCAAATGCAGGTCTAGTAGTTGGGTCATGTGCCATGTGTAATAACTTTTTATGCATAAGAACTTCTTGTGCTCTTTCAACATTCACATCCAATGCATATCTGCAAAGATTTTTTATGATATTAGTGATAAGAATGATGAAGAAAATTGCACCAGAGTTATGATCATTGGATCCCAAGAAATCAACTGTTGTAAATTTAAGTAATTGTAGCTTTGTGAAGGGGATACAAGAATAAATTTACTGTTTAAAATACTTGAGAATCTGCTTTTGACTAAAGATCCCAACAACAAGCTCTCCACAACTACTACAATAATTTGGGTATATTTTAAAACATTTGAAAACGACAAGTTTGCCATCAAATTAGACTCGTGAACATAAAAAAAACAAGACTTTGTCCATTTCGAGTAAAATATATGCACTCTTAAGCTTTTAAGGTCAAATATAGTATTCTTTAGAGATAACTTGAGCTCCAAATGTGTTATAGATTCAACAGAAGAAATTTTCCAATTCTAGTAGTGGGTGAAAAAGGTTAATGCAAAACTTGTCGAGATAATTTATGAAGCACATCAAGTTTAATGGTTGAAAATTGAAATTGGTCGGTTTTCACCTCCATGGTCAAAGTATCTATCTTTCCTGAAAGGATGGAGTAGAGTAGGTAATAAGAAATTAAGAATATACACATCATTGCCTTTTCTACTATTGAAATTATGCTTTACGAATTTTAACGTACTTTAGATTCCAAAAGAAGAATGAAACTGTAGAAGAACAGGATTCAAATTCAAAAACGGGATAAAATTAGTATGTGAATTTCGTACACCAACTGTTTGTAAAAAATACCAGCTGAACATCTGACGAATTGCAGTAAGTTTTGACATAATCACCTTGTTTTGAAGAATTGTCTTCATTTGATGATGCAATATATTGACAAATTCCATAACGAATCACTCGAATGAAGAGAAATTTAGGGCTTCAGACGACTGAATTCAAAATTACCTAACAGGAAGACGATTGAAATGAGACCATAGCTGATCTTCAAAACCAGGTTGACATGCCTCTTCACAATCCGACTCTCTAAGTCGGCGAAGAACCTCCTGATAAACCTCTACCTTCGGTCTCCGCTTCCTACTCGCAACCGCTGCCGGCGACGCCTCCGAAGCTCTGCTACTACAACAACTCTCGGTATCTCCTCCTTCCATCACCATTCCTTCACCACAACGTCTCCCTAACCACGATAAACTAGCTTCTCGCTTACATCCAAAAACTACTCATAAATGAATCAAACAATCACACACAACGAAGAAACCGAAGATCAACGACAAAAATCGTGCTCACTAAACAACAGTAATGAAACAGTTTAAAGCACAAGAAAACAAAGTTTTAACAATGGTGAATACCGCCCTGCTCAACAATGTTTCCCTTTATATATATGGTAGTTCCTGGATTCCAGAGCAAAAAGCTCTAAACCCAGATAACAGTACAACATTTACAGCATAAAATACAAGATTTACAACAAGAATCTCTTGGAAATCAAGATTTGGCGTCAACTTTTATCTGGGGAAAACGATAATGGCGTAATGCGCACCCATTGAGCGGGTATCGACGTGGATTCAAGCCATTCTTTTTTGCCTTACTTCACCATTTTTATTGGTTTTTTTTATAACTCCATCGATATCCAATTGAAAGATTCATATGTGAAATCATTACTTTAAGCACCCCTGTATTTTCATTTATTTGTCAAAAAAGTATATATATAACAAAATGGTCATCTATTTTGGAATTGGTCAGTTTCGGAATACTTATATGTTTCAAATGTGGTCTCATGCGTGATGTATTATTTAGGTCATCTTCCTAATCTATATGGCAATCGGCTCAAATTCTCTCAAAACTTGTACATGTGTAGGTGTATACAATTCTACAAGAAATTACATGGACAAAAAGAAGCATGATATGGTCATCATCGGATGATGATTGGTATCTTATAAGCAGTAATAAGGATGGAACACATATAAACCACAAAACAGTTTGACCAAGTTGGGATCGGTCAACCAAACCTTTATTGGCGTGGTACATGCTCTTCCTAGGGTAAACAATGTACGATTTGTGTACGAGCTTGACCCAACACACCCATATAAAGTGTAATATGTCTCGCACTTGTGTGTCAAAATGGGAGGGGGAAACAAGTTTCGTCCAAACTTTCATGGAGTTTAAGCATGTATGCATGCATATATGTATGTATGTATGTATTCATTATGCATCCGTACATATGTTTATGTTGATGTATGTACATACGACATAGGTTTATAAATATGGTGTATGTGTGTTTTGAAATTGAATATTTAGTTGTTGCAATTTAAAATAAAAAATAATTAGTTTATGATATATGGACAAATAGATCGATTCTGATTATCTATTTAACTAAGAGTCTAATAATCAATTTTATAGTCGTTGAAATAAAGATAACCATCAAAGAGTAAAATTAAATCTACCTATGTACCTTTTCTTTTACACTATTGGGTATGGGTAACGCCCAACCGCGTTTTTCTGAAGTGACATACAATACCAATGTTACAATGCGGGAAACACTACCCCGAGTGCACATTTTCCGGCGTTACGACTTACGTGGGTTCGCGTTGCAATGGTAACGGGAAAAATTCGACCGTTTGGCTTGCAATGGACCATTTTAAAACGGTATATTTCATAAAAAAAAAAAATTACCTATATAAATACATAAGATGATGAAGTGACAACTTTTGGGTGTGATACCATGTCATTTAAGCTTTCAACTTTTGGTTGAGGATTTCTATCCGTCAACATTTCAAAATTAAAATTTTACAGTCATTCTAATAACATAAATTTCTTCGTCATTTTAAAATCATCATTTTAAAATGTATGTCCGAACACCCCCATGAAAGTATGTGTATCCATTTAAAGTCAACATTTAATCTTAACGTGCTATTGGTATATATTTATGCAAACTTGTTTTTGAGAACATCAAGTGTTACAACTTACAAGCTCTTAACGTGAGATGTATCACTTAAATGTGATTTTTCTAAGACTGCTGGGTATGGGCAACGCCCACCGGGGCGTTTTTGGGCGTTATAACGCACAAACACCCCCCCCTTCACCGTTATTGGGTGTTATACATCTGCACATTGCTTCCCGTTACCACCACCATCTTCAATTGACGCCGTTTTTCTTCTTTTTCTCAAAAACGTCGGTGTGGGCGTTGCCCACACCTATCAGCCTAAGGAGTAAAATGTCACTATCAACTATACCAAAGGGCTTCTAGCCTAGCGATATCTGGTGTTGCCCTCCCTCATTGAGGTTGAGGGTTCAAGTCTCGTCGTAGACATAAGTGGATTTAAGGAGTAGTTTAGGAGTAGATTAGGTTTGCCGTTTCAAAAAAAAAATAGATAAATGTTATATGAAAACATTGGGAAAGTATAAGGAGGTTAAATGGAAGTTAAGTATAGTTTGATGATTCCATATCCAATAGCACCCACCAACATCCTCCCATAGAATAAGATTCTATAATTAAATTCTTTAGATCCCTCTATATAAAAGTATCAATAAAGGCCAATCCTCAACCTGCCCCTATAATTAATTATCCAATAATACATGATTGCTTGAATCAATCAAATATATACTATTCATAATCTATGAGGGTTATTAAGTTGTCAAAATGATATTTGGTATTTTTATCAAAAAGTGTAAGATTTGAGTTTTAGTTTCTTTTGAATGTCACTAAAATTTATGGGTCATATGAATTTTTTATTGTTGATGTAAATATACGTATGTACAAACCATATAGACTTGGATATTAAAAAACTTGACACCATAGTTACAAAAATGTTACATACATATACATATATATATGCAATATATGCGTAAATACATTTATAATTTGGTATTTACATTCTTTTCGATGTTTTGATCCACAATAATACAAGGACATGTTGAAAACTATTATTTCTTCGTTCACAAAACATAATAAAAATAAGGATCTAAAAACAGAAAAGTAAATTATGTTTCGCTGGGTTTAAAAACTCTATCTCGTTAAAGTAGAAAAAAATTAAAAAAAGAAAAAGAAAGATGTGCGTAAGTGATGTTCATAAATTTATTTTATCTTCTTCTTTTAGAACATTAGTCACCTTAAATTATAAAGTATGTGGGATTCGAATTTTAAATAACCTTTTTTGTAGTGCTTAATTTTTAAAAGATCATCATGAATCACGTTTCATAAACAATTAAAACCCAGAGTCAAAATTTTGTAATTGATAAGATGGAAGGTATTTTTTTTTCATCTCTCTCAACTCATTTGGTAAATCATTGTCATATCATTCTTTTTTTCTTTTCATTTTCATCCTTTTGATCCAACAATACATAAACACCAATTTTTTCGATCTCTTTCAACTTACTTATTATTATTTTTTTAAATAAATACAATCTAATTAAAAACATACAAAACTAATTCGCAAAATAATTAAAAACATACAAAATACATTTTGTTGTAATTTTTTTTGTGTAAGTTACAAGTAACCAAAAGAGAGGGAGAGGGAGAGGGAGAGGGAGAGGGAGAGAGAGAGAGAGAGAGAGAGAGAAACTCTGCAGTTGTCTTCAATTGGCGATACCATGACTTGTTGGATCCGTTGCCATGTCGGTAATGTCAACCGTCAATCCCGCCACCATCACGACTCCGTCCACATTAACAACTCTTTTACTAAAAGAAGTGTTGGTTTTTTTATGCAATCTGCAAACTTTAAAAAACAAACAATATTTTCTTGAAAACTGCAGATGTTTAGTCCACATCTTCTTATATAGATGTGTTTCATAGACTGTAGTTTTTTACTTCTTAAAAGAGGAACAACACCTTCATCTGATTTTTTTTCTTTTAGTTTTTTTTAGAGTGTAGCCAATTATCCATTTAGGAGTTGTTTGATAGTTACTGATTGAGTCAAATCTAATTAAGTCAATGTCTAATTGAGTCTCACTCGATAAGAGGTATATCAGATGTTATATGACCGAATAAGAGACTTTAAATTGTAACATCAAACAGTATGAATCTGACTGAGTCAGAACCAACCTCTTATTAAACCTAATAAAAGACATACCAAACATAACTCAGGCCTGTCAAATATATACCACAGAAAACCAACCAAGATGTTACCAACCGAACCAGAAATGTTGGTAACCAATATGTTTGGTAGCCACCATGTATGGTTGGTAGTACCAAACCCAATTGAATAATAATAGTACGACAGTTATACAAAATTTTCAATACCACTGTAGTATCGTATCAACCAATTCAATATATATATATATATATATATATATATATATATATATATATGTTTTCGCGCAAAGCGGCTGTGACAACCGTCAAATTTCGGTCAAGTTAAAGTCAAACAAAGTCAACAAGTCAAACCGGTCAACTCCAATAACCCTTGTATGTTAGGGTTTACGTTATGTAATCACTATACAATTCGCTATTTTAATGAGAAATCATCATTTGGAAAGTTCATGTGTTTGATTTTCCTTAGCCTTAACAGTGCTAACAACGAACCAAAGCGATAAAACACTATTGCACAATCATCGGGATTGTGTACGACACTAAAACACGGTTTAACGGGGTTTACGAACCTTGCGTTGTGAAGCCGGACACTCAAATTAATCACAAACGAAACCTCTCTAAATCGTTTTCACTCTATCTCTTTCTATTTGAAATCTCTCCCAAATCTCTCTCGCAGACGGCCCCTTTTTACCGGTTTTTCGACTACGACTTCGTTTTAACTCTGTTTTTCATTATTTTAACGTGGGATTTTCACCCAAAACTTTATTTTATAAACTAAGGCCCCAAAATATATAAATCTCCAGGGTTTTTATTAAAATGTATTAAAAGAATTGGTGGTTGGACTAATTATTGAGGGAATATTTGCTTTTCCTTATTTTATGACAAAAGCAAGCCACCACCACCTCACTCTATGATCATCCACTCTTTCCCACTACTCCTTGTCACCTTAGCGGACCTTTACACCCAATCTCCAGCTCTTCCCACGTTCTAAGAGCTGGAGGATTGATCCTCTCTCCTCATTCTTCATAAAGTTCTTTCATTCTACACTTAGCAACCAAAGGACACTCTCCAAAATTCTCTCATCTTTTCTCTCAACTTCAAGAACTTCAAGGCTTTCTCCAGGGATTTCTTCCTTCAATTAGTAAGTATCTTCATCATTCACATAATTATTAAACTCCATTCTACTCAAATCATTGATATCTTACACAAATTCCATCTTATTCGGTGTTAGATTCTCGAATCATCAAGACATCTTCTTAGTGTTCTTGGGTTGAACACTTCCTCTATCTCACTTTCATCTACTGAAATCAC